GRGGGKKTGGGTGTATATGAGGAGAAGAGGGGGTGAAAAAGTGATATAAAGGGTATCTTTGTCATTTAGTATTTTAAGACTTTAAGACTTTTGTTAAATTTGTTTTATAAGATAGTATAGATTTCTTAATGTTAAAAGTTGTTGGGCATCGCTGTGGTAACATTGTGGTATCACAATTGTATTCATCAACCAGATTTAGTATTATAGTGTGTATCACAATATATTTTCGTCGTTATAGGAAGTGTATCACAATATATTTTTGTTGTTTTACGAAGTATAACACAATATATCAGATAATGTTTTCTTTACCAAGTGTATCACACTGTGTTTTTTTTGTTTTTTTATGAAACATATCATAGTATGCATTATATGTTAATATGGTGTTTGTTGGAGAAATGAGGTGTTTGAGGGAGAGAGTTGAGAGGAGAGAGAAGGGAGGAAAGGACGAGGGAGGAAAAATCTAGAATGATTAAAATGTTCGTAATTAATATTTAAATTAAAGTTACTAAAATTATTAATTTCCTGATTTAATCTTTAATTTGTGGTTGACATTGGATCTCACGATTACCATAAACGAATCAGTTTTTCCTTGAATGAGCCTATATATATATATATATATATATATATATATATATATATATATATATATATATATATATATATTTCAAAATATAATACATTAAATACAAAAAATTTAAACATATAATGCTGTAATAAAAAAGTAAAATAATCTTACTATAATTTCAAAATTAAAATTTTGCATCATTTTGGACATTTTTACCCTTTTTTTAATGTGTTTTAATAATACGAACATACAAAATGCTCCTTTTTGGACCAATTATTTCAATATTTTATTTAATATTAATATGACATGACGATAATAAAAACAAAATTTATGAAATAAAAAATCCAAAAATAGAAACAAGTGTCAAGAAAACAACGAGTGACTAACCAAAAATTAGTGAAGTAGATAAAATATTGTTTTATTTTTTGGTTTAGTTTATATTTAAATAAAATATTCATTAAAATATATTTATGTTTTTATATTGAATTAATTAATCGTTAGGAAATATTATAAATATTTAATATTACTAAAAAGGTAATTGCACAATACAACGAGATACGTCTTATTTTAATATTTCATTTTATTTTTTATCTCAATTGATATTATAATATGGTCTTATGTGATTTTGAAAAGACGATGTTTTTATTTTTGAATAAAATATATATTTGAAGATATCATAAAAATTTGATAAAAATATATCAATATTAGTATCAAATTAACTATTTAAAATTCATCATTTTTTGTGTAATTTTTTAATTATAATTTAATTTACGTTCAATAACGAAGTAATTTATATTTGGTTTAATAATATGATTTTCTTATAAAGATAATNATTTTCTTATAAAGATAATAATTAATTATTTTATTAGAATTCGATAATTATTCTAATTATACTTAAATTTTGTATATTTTAAAATGAGATGTTCATTCTCTATTTGATTATGTTTATCCGCAGTTAGTTACACAAATTCAAACATAGAGTTTTAATAAGTTGTATTTATGCATAGTTTATTTGTAAACTTGAATTTTAAGTAATATGCATCAATATACAGTATTTTATGCATAACAAATGGTTTTTAAGAGTTTTTATTAATTAAATACTTTATAATATAATATAGTATAGATTTATGTTAGAGCATGTATTATAAAAATAAAATAAAAATGACTTGATTCTTATTTGGTATTATAGTTGTTTCCCAATCGATATAATAAACCTTTAATTCCTCTTCGATTATAGATATTTTGGACCATAATTTATTAATTATATAATATTCGATGAGGTAAATACAAAATTTATCAATTATATTGTAAAATTAATTACGTTAATGGCCAAATTATATTACTTTTTTGATTAAAAATCTCTTTTATCCTATCTGTTTGACGATCCTTTGATAGCTACCGTTGTAGCTGTTCACTGTTTGTTGCTAGTAAAGTTTCAATCTTTCCTTTTCCGGTCACTCTCATAGCTCTCTCCTTCCAAGTAGCGATTTTAGGGTTTTTTTTTTTTACGCTTTGTCTATAAGTTTAAAATGTCGAATTGATAATAGGCAAAGACGAGCCCAACCTTGTTGAAAAGGTCAATGATTAAAAATTCACCAAAATTATATATTATTAGAAGAGATAGATGGATGATAGCAACAATGATGGAGATGATGATTGGTACAAAGAGAGAATATCTCTCTGTTTCATTGAAGAAAAGCATGAACTAAAATACAGAGAATACATACATAACTT